AAAAATGAGACAGGGAAAAGGACAGACATAAAGGCGACATAACTGTGTTCGAAGCCACGCACTAATACGCAACGAGTGGCTCGTGCAACCATTACATCGAGCTCGATATTACCTCGGCGATGCAATGTATGCCCAGGGTAATTTCCACGGTTACGCGAGTAGGTTTGTTTTGGCTGGGGGTAATATCGCCCTTTTGCATGCTCTCGCTCTCCTCTGTATCCCTACGAGGGGTTTCCACTCGTATTCGCCAGCCATGGTTTTTGTCCCTGCGGCGCATCCCCCGTAGAACGGAGAGAGGCGCCGAGACAACACGCTCGTGAAAAATTGTATTCGCTACGAATCAAACCCTCACCGCCAAAAACCGCTGACCTCCCGACGAAAAAGTTATTACGCAGACAAAACACGTTGCCGGATGGACTTTGTTTGAGCGGCTCTTCCTTCGTGCGCGATGGAGTGCTTTTTCAAAAACGTCACCTACAAACAAGCAGAGTGCCAGAAGGATAAAGAGACGTGAAACAGCAACGATTTGGAGAAAATACTGTTAGTGTACATCAGAAAACGATCGCTCTATATTTCTATTATGACGTAACCTGATCTCAGTTCTATACAAAGTAAATTATTTCTAATTATATATATATGTAATGATTGTATCAATTACTATATGAGATAGTTTTAGCTCTGTTAGTACAATTTCTTTCACGTAAAAAAAGAAAAAAACAAATGTTTTCATACAATCTAGCAATAAAAACGGACTTATTATTTAATTGAACTACTTTTTTAATAGAACGACTTCGACGATTATTTCTGCATTTTACTGTTCACAAATCCGGGCTATTTCTCTAAATGGTAGCAACTCACCGCGTGATTGTCAACCTTTTCAATTAGATCCGCAAATCCTCTTTGATTCGAATTGCATTGTCAACGATTTCCTCGGGTCATAAACGTTTTGACGATTGCACCAAGCGCCGTGCACATGCCAATCATTGCTAATTGCTGACATCGTTATACTCGAATATTCGAAAAGTTAACGAAGAAACAAAAATGTAAAAGAGACAAAAAGCAAATTAGCTATATATGTTCGCGGATGAGCGGATTTTTATTGTTGCATTGACATTAAACAATTAGCGATGTGATTAATGTAACCACTATAGTCATTATAAAATAACTTCGAGTTCAAATATCCGTGTCACAGACCGATAAATGATATCCAACGTTTATCAGTTGAAGTACGAAAATTAATGCCGTTGAAAAGCACAGTGAAGTAATTATTTTGAAAGTATTTTATGTATAGAGCGGATACTTTTCGTATACGTGAAAAGAAAAAAATGTAAATTTACTTCATACCACGAAATAATTAACCCTTTGTTTTTAACGGATTGTCGAGTAACTTGACGAATTTTTACCTTTATAACAGCCTGCAATGAGAAATTTCTTGACCACATAGAAAATTAGTCTTGAGCATCGTCGAAAAAGAAAAAAATCTACCGATTATAGTTGATATAAATAGCATTGTATAATATATTTTCTATTGAGAAAAGAATTTAAAATTTTTGGAAATTAAAATTATATATTAGAGTTAGCATATCGACAATTGTATTTTCGAGGGATTATATCGGATCACGAAAATTGGACAGGTTATTATCAAGTAATTAATAATTTAACACAGATTGCACGCAAAGTGACAAATAACACGGTTTTTTCGTTTTTGTGGTCAGTAAAGATATATTTCGTATCGCGCTTAATAATTGATAACAATCTCCAGCATTCGATATTCTCGAAGAGGGCGTACGTTATCATCGATTAATTGGGAGACCACGTCAGGGGTTTCGAGGAGTTATTAATTGGACTATTATTAATTCAGCATGTTCCTCGTGAGTTCTCTCTTGAACTCTCGATACGAGAGGCCGCAGATCGTAGTTACCTACAGCAGTTAGTGTATTCGATTATAGTTTAAAATAGTGCACTTCATCATTTATAATATATTATAAATACCATTTAACCTATTTCTTTTCCATCATAAAATTCGTCTTTATGCAATATCTCTTTTATCTTTTTTCATATAAATGTTTTATAACTGACATTTTCGTTATATAATATACATATTACACATTTGAAAAATTAATAAACCTATTAAAGTAAATTTATCGAACTGAAAAAAATTAAAAAATTTCATTATAGTTTTTATTATGATTATAAATAAAGAAAGAACTAGAAATAAGATTAAACTATTCAAATTACGTTTTATATTAAATGTTGCATTGTTGCACGAAAATATAACGGAATAATGGAATTTTATTTCATGGCATTTTAATCCAAATTTTTTATACTAAATATATTATTGTATGTGTGTGCACTTTTATTAAAAAAATAATTTCTACACATATCATGATTTTATTATTATATTTTCAATAAATTAATCACAGCATTTAAAAAATCGAAAAATATAAGTATTACAAAAAATATTTGATAATGTTCGCTATTGTTTGATCAGAGCATCATAGCAAGCTGAGTTGAGAAATAACATTTACGTAACGTGCTACCTAGTTTACGTCTACCTTATTGATTTACCTCTCCATCCACATCCCGAATAGAATCAACGCTACCGTCGTGGGGATTTTACGAAATAATTACCGAAACATGATTAGAAGCTATCGCTCGACGCACAACATTTAATTAGACAATAATTAACGCTTGCTCCAATTTCAAAGTCCTCAGCACAGGCAAGCAGATGAAGCTGTTGCAGTATTCGTCAATAGAACGACTTCAACAAAATGAATATGAAAAGAAAGGATATTATTTCTTTATTTAGTCGATTATTTTATAAACAGTAAGAATACTATTAGTATCTCAACAAAATAGATACGTCAAATAAACATAATTATATTTTTCGAAAGGTAAAAAAAATTATTATTAAATAATGATATAATTGTTCTTAGTAATATAAAAATTTATAAATATAATAATCTTAGTAATATAATTCAATAAAACTGTTTATTTGTCTACCGAATAAAATATATCGAATGGTGAAAATGAGTATCACTCAAAAAGTAAAACAACTAGTTTCATAGAAATTTCATTGTAATTCAGGAAGCATGTTACCAATGTTATTTAAATTTTCATCATAATAGCAATGATTATGAATTCTTTTGATGTCCCCTCGATATACACTTTTCTGATATCCAGATAAAAGATTTGTTGCTTTTTATCTCTACGTTTATAGCTATTATAACTTTTATTAATAAAAAAACGTCAATATTATTAATTCATCTAGGAAGCGAACACGATGATAAGTTCCATTAAGAATGATCGATATTAACAGAAATGTAAATAAAAGTGTCCTAAAATGCTCATTAGCGGAATATGTAGCTTCCTTTTATTAGAACTTCTGGTAAAAAGCATATTGAAATTACATGGAACTACGCGTGTTATTCTGGGTGAAGTTTAAATAAGTTTTAAAATCTTTTTAATAATATTTGAATAAGTTCAAAAAATATTATACCTGAGATTCTCAAAAATTCTATTCTTCATTTGGAAATAAACTTCATCGAAAGCTTAATGCATTTCAATTAATGTTAGTTAAATACAAAATAATCGAAAGCTTAATGTATTTCAGCAAATTTTCGTTAAATACAAAATAATCGGAAGCTTAATCGAAAGCTTAAAGTATTTCAGTAAATTTTAGTTAAATACAAAATAGTCTATTCGCGCACTTGCAAAATGCCGTTTTTCTGCAACGAATTAAGCAGAAGTTCGTCGTTCCGAAAATTCCAGCGAAAAATAAAAACGAGTCAGAGTCTAAAGGGCAAACGGAGAAAAACGGCAGAGTGTTGCCCAGCAAAGCACCATAAAGTCTCATTGGCTTTAATTCGGTCGTACCCTGCCGGCCACTGGGAGTGATTAATCGTAACGTTACTGCAACACAAAAGCACCTTACCACCAATCATTCCCTACGATGTTTAGAAAGAAAGTCGACAATGTTGCTTAATACGTTCTCATTTAATTAGTTATATTTGTCTCACCAAAAAAAACTATATAAACCGAATATTTTATAAAACACATGCTTATTTTTGAGAAATTAATAAAATTATTAAAAATATTTTATAAATTACATACGTTATGTGTTTCTGTCAAGAAATTCGTATCAGTCAAAAAAGATTCTCAGTTTAATTCTGGATAACTATTACAAATATCTGTATTCCCATTTATTAAAATTCATCGTAAAGGAAAGGAAGGGCTTTCGGTTTATGGCGATGAAAAATTCAGTTACTTTTAAAAGGAAAGGAAGAAGGTCGGTCAATGTTTAATCTTTAAATAGAACAGGATGTACATTCTTATGCCTCCCGTTGTATCTCTTATTAAATCTTGGAAGTTCTTAAGACTTGTCTTTAATTTTTTATTAAGTCCACTTCAAATTGCTGAAAGGATCTGTAGAATCTGCAGATGAAAGTGCATCCGAATCATTTCTGTATATAAAAATTACGATGTTTCTTATTATTAGTTCAAAGATAAATATGTACAGTAATGTTTATCTTTAAAAAACTGCACTTAATTAAGTTAATTCGATTTCGATTACCGATAAGAATTATATGTATTTTTATGCCTAAGAACGGGACAAATATGTGAAAGAGTAAAACGTATAAAATAATTTTTATCATTTATATTTTATAAAACCGGAAAAGCTTCGGGCTTCATATATGTACTGCAATAAATATAGCAAATACTAGGAAATGAAGTGCTTCTCTTAAATCCGCTCATCAGTGTTTAAAAGCGAAAAGTGTATCATCACCCCCGAATATAATCCACCGTGCGCATGCAGGTCAAGTGAAACAAAATGAAACATTTATGAATTCTCGAAGAGCACGTTTATTTCCCTTCATGAATATGCAAGTCCCTCAATATTTTGCGGTACAGAAAACCGGTGACACATATATGTTCTTTTTTTTTTTTCAATCGGTATCGAACTTCTGATTGAAAGCGTCCTCGCTGTGTTGCTGTTTCAGCTGCGCGAGTACACCCTGACCGAATCGTATCACGAAGACGAAGTCGAGGTAGAATTCGTCAGCAATGACAATCTGCAAGCGAACAGCGAGGCTCCCAGAGGAATCGATCCGAACAGGGACCTAAACGAAGCCATAGCCGAAGAACGAAGGGAAATGGACACTTCTAGATACAGGTATGTTTCCTCCACTCCGACCTTTTTCATTCTGTTTTACTTTTTGCTCGAACGAACTTTTTACTTCGATTTTTTTTTTTTGTGAACTTCAACCAGTGAAAAGTCGCGTTTTTTACTGCATATTTGACAAGCGAACTTCAAAATCAAAGAATTACCCTTTTCCCTTTCTTTCTACATGCCCGCATTTTGGATTCCATTATCGAATTTGTTCAAATTTGGATAAGTTAATCAAATCAGTCCAAAAATGTTAAAGAAAAAACTAACTAAACAAAATTTAGATAGTTATCTTTATTGAAATGTAAAATATTTATAATGCCATACGTATTAGTAAAAATCTATGTAATATAGACTTTCAACCTATTATAAAATAATAGATACAATATATATTCCAGAATACGATTATGTATGAACTATAGAATACGAAAATATATACAAAAGATAAGAAGAAATAAGTAACAACCGGACACAAAACTGTATTACATTGTTAAACCTAAACAAAACACAATTATTGCAAATGCAGTTAAACAGCATATTAAATTTTAGATTATTATGTATGCAATTTACCAACAGCGGTAGTTACGTTATCGACACGGTTGTTCTCCCCGTCTTTCGCCAGTGTGTCTGTCTGTCCCTGGCTTTCCGTCTACTTACTTTCAATAAAGCAGTCTTAAATATACCTCGATTAATACAGTCTTCTTCTCTTACAATTACCCATATATTTCAATACATAAAATAGATAATGAAACAAACAGTGAACAAAAGGCGTCAAATAAAACAAACGATAGAATAACAGAAGCATAAGGTATAGTAAAAATAAGTACGATTATTCCTTTTTTAAACCACTCTGAGAACAAAATAAAGTAACTAAAAAAACGTAAAAAAAAAAAAGATCGACAGATATCAAAATCAATAATTAATTCAATACATTATAACTTCAAAGACATAAATGCTAAAGCGGGGAGCACAGACTTTTGCATAACGCATAAACCATATACATAAAGAATTTGATTGGTCCACTGACTCATGCATAAGAAAATGGACCAATGAAATTCCTTATGCACATGCTTTATGCGTTATGCAAAAGTCTGTGCTCCCCGCTTAAGAAACCCAAAACGGAAAAACTACTATTCAAAAGACGAATAATAAAGGAAAAAATGAAGTATATATATATATAAAAGACAATTACAAAAACGGTTGAAACACATTCGCGGATTTTTGTTATTCATGTTTACAATATTATGTCACCTATTTCGCAATGCGTCGAGACATATTCATGAAATCTCACATGAAATCACTTTCCTTTAAACCTTCTTTTTACAAAACTGCCACATTCCGTATATAATACATCTCAATAATGAAAAAATGTTATTAATGCCTCGAGTACCACATTGAGGGCTGATTTTTCCATCTTTTGATAAAGTTTGCCTGTTAGGTAAAAAGCAAGATTACCAAATCACGTGCGCGAATTGCCAGATTTACCTAACAGGTAAAATTTACCGAAAGATGGAACGACCGGATCCAAGACTCGATTGCTACCTTCCCACGACACAAGCAACTGTGTGAATTACGCGAAATGGCCATCGGACACCCTAAGACCGACGCGACGAATGCGGTACCGACACCGATATCGTTGCGAATACGACTGAATCCTCGAGTCACGTTTAATACGCGTCTAACGTCGACGAGGCCTTCGTAACCACAATACTCTGTGGAACACTCAAGGAGTGTGAATCACTCGGCTGGTAGACGAGACACGAGGCACTTCACTTTCTGGGGCGACAGTGTCCGCATCCTCGTGCGTTAATCGTGGTTATTTCAGCTTATCGGCCTGCTAGACGCTGGTTTTACGAGACAAACTCGACGAACCGATAAACGTGGCGAGAATTGAGCACGTATTGCAACAATTTCGTTACCGTAGCGCATCCCAAATTAGTACAAGTTTCGAGTCAATCCGAAAATACTTTAGAAAAAATTCGCACCGTCTGTTGCACGTGTCATCTGCGAGACAAATGTCAAATAACACACAAATAATTAAAGGAAATTGACATAATGAAGTGTTTAAATAAGTCGGAACGGAGCAATTATTATAGAAGGAAGGTTTCAAAATAAACGTTAAAAAAAAAAAGAAGTATTTGATAATGAAGTACGTTTATTGCATGCTTTATGTCTGAATTATTGTAAAAGTGTTTATGAAAATTGTTATAATTAATTTTTCTTTATTTGTCATTTCACGACTTTTTGTCTTTAACACATATTAAATGTGACGTTAAGAAATGTTGATCTTAAACTAAATGAGGTAAAAAATATTTATTAAGATTAAAGTTCTTATAGCTGTTTTTATATGTTTTTATCTTTATGTCACGCGATATGTTAACGATGTTATGCTTTTGCAAATCCAAATATTCCTATGAAATATTTAACATAATATTGTAAACATTGTTTACATTTTTATAAAAAAAGATATGTCTATTTTAATCAAGACACTAATCATCATTTTACTCTCGTTACACAGATTGTTTAAATTTCCGTTGCCTACTTGATTTCTGGAAAATATGTTCACACTTGATATAATCATGGAATGATCATTGTTTCTAACGCATTGTTTTATTTTTAAATAATTTGTTTACTGTATAATTCATATTTTTGCAGTTTAATAATTTTTACGTTGTTATGTAGTACAGTATATTTTATCTATATAATCTGGCTATGAAATAATTCCAAATAAAAGAGAAAAAAGAAAGAGAAAAATCAGTCAATAAATAAATAATTTTCACTTCCAAAGTGTTCTTATTGATTCAATAGATGCCACAGCCCTGCAATAATCTTACAATAAATAATGTAGTAGCTCTCTCTCTCACTCTCTCTCTCTCTTTCTCGTTATTCTTCTTGTATGTTCTTAAGACACTCTTATTCGACATGAGATAAACGAGAAAATACTACCTCGAAAATAAACCAATGGTTCATAAGTCCGAATGAAAATTCCAAAGTTCGAATCAGTTCGTTAAGCTCAGCTGTCTAATACTTTCTCTTCAAGTTTTAATTCCTTCCAAATGTCACCCGGAGGCGAAGCGCTTAAGCTCGAAGATACAGAATAGATAGTAAACGTCTCCCTCTCGAAGATGTAAGAAAGTCGCATAAGTGACAAAAGTATGTATTCAACAGACGCATTTACGTCAAGCGTATTCCATCTTACAAAGAAATTACGATCACAACGTCTACATATCGGCAATTTTGAAAATGGTATTACCAAAAGCTTTTCTATTTCACATTACTTTTTTCCTTGAACAAAAAAAAAGCAAAAATATCTGCGTAGAAAATTATAAACTTTCATGACAGAATGACATCCTGTCAATTTTCTAGTAATATGAACACGCACTGCCGTCAGATACAATAGATAGTTATCGAGAATCGAGAATAAGTCTGCGAATAGGTATATAACGAAAATAATATACCAAGAGAGAGAATAAAATCATACTTTAGATAATGATAGTATTGATTAAAGCTCTTTTTTTTACACACTTGCTCGATTTTGAATCATTGAAATGTATAATCTGATACGAAAGGAAAATAAAGCAAATTACAGTGGTAATATTTTGGATGTTAAAAGATAATATATAATCTAAAAATTGTAATAAATTTTCGAGAATTTCAACTTAAAAACTGCACTATCATGTATTTTGCAATTTACTTACACACGTGTCCACAGAAACTTTTTCATTGCAATGACCAATACTGTCACTTACCAAAGTATTGACCTTTCCTCTCGGGACGCTCTTACTTTCCTCTCACTTTATGAAAGGTCCTGTGACTAGATCCGTCCAGCCTTTCACCACTCTCTTTTATAACACGAACTCGGATCGTTCTTCTGTGCCTTCCAGCAGTGCCCCTTCATGCCCTTACGAGATTTCTCGTCCGTCCCTCTAACATGCACCTTCTCGCTCCATTTCTCTCTTTAACTTTTACGATGGAGAACTCGAGCGAAGGGTTGCATGAAGATCGCGAGTCTTCTTCTTACGATGTCGTCCTTACTCGACACTCGGAAAAATCGCCAGACTTACTCCGTGACATTTGACAATTCCGTATGACATTTACGCGATAATAGAACGAAAATGTCCTGATACGCCTTTAGAAGAAAACTCATCCGATGAAAACACGACTTTCCACTTTCTCCATATCGCCCGGACAATATCTTTCAAGTCTCTTCAATTAGCCCTAATAAAATTACCTACTTTTTATTCCTAATACACACGATAGAGTGTAAACTGTGAATTACTGTTAACACCGTTCGCCCCAATTGCACGGGAATAAAAGTTTAAAAAGAATTTATAGGCTAGTTTTAAAAAACCACTTTCTCTTGCGTAGAAATAAAATTTCTAAATCCAAAATAAAATCTCTTATTTAAGAGATCGTAAAGTAGTAAATAATCATACTAATATTACCGATTCAAGATAAAATTTATATGGCTAAATAGCTTATCAACAGTTCGATTTAATAATGTACGTAATTTAATAACAATCACTATACTATTTTAATTAAAATATAATTATAATTCACCTAATTATAATAATTAGCGTTTCTCTCTCTCTCTCTCTCTCTCTCTCTCTCTCTCTCTCTCTCTCTCTCTCTCTCTCCTTAAAATTCTTACAAAAATTTAAAATTACTTTCCAAAACAGAAATGTTATATGTGTATATGAAAATAACCGTAACTTATACATAATCATTTCTTTTAAAGGAAAACAATTGATGAATATATATAAAAAAATGTAATTTTTGCTTCAAAAAGAAAAGTTAATTGATGGTCACAGAATGTGTATTGTACGCGACGAAAGTAATATTCTCTTTCGTTTTATTTATTAATATTGAACGGAAAAGCCAACCGGAGCCACCCCCGAGCTATAAATGCAATTTATCGCGAAACATAGCTAGTCAGATTGAATACGATGCAACCGACATTGATTATCAATAACGATATTACGCATCCGTAGAAGTCGTATAATCCT